GTTTCAATAAAATAAATATAATATAATAATGAATAATAAATATAATAAATAAAAATTGGCTTTTCAAGGTCAAAGGAAATGAATATCTTAAATTTAATATTATAACTAAATTATGCTTACCTTATATACACTATACAAATTTCATCAAAATATCTTGAAAAATAACTGAATCATTTCAGTTTAAAATGTAAGGGTAGTTCATCCTAAATTAGTAAAAACGTAAATTTTTTGCTCAGTTAAATATACATACATTTTAAGTTTCAGAATTATTCAATCATTTTTAAAATGTTTATAAACAAAATAAAAAATATGGGATGAAACTACCCTTAACATAAGTCAAAACATTCTTTAATATTTATTAAGGTATGTTTCGAATTTGGTTAAGATTGGTTTAAAAACACAAAAGTTATAATATACAATATATTTCAAATAATTCAATTCGATATTAAAAATCGAATAGTAAGTTGAATCATTCGATATTAACATTTGAATAACTGAATAGGATTCGGTAGGAAAAATAACTCACACAAACATAAACAAATAATATTTACTGTACATTTCAGATTTATCAAAGCGTGCATTCAATGCACAATGTCATTGAACATCATATGGTTTGGCAAAAAAACTGCCAAACAAAGCAGTAGTCACTTGAATTGTTGAATTTCTAAACAAAATATTTATTGTAAATTTCTATTTCATCAAAGCGTGAATTAGATGCACGCTGACCTTGAATATCACATGGTTTGACAAAAGTAAAAAGAACCTATCAAACAAAGCATCAGTCACTTAACCTTGAAAATTCTGGCTGTTTTATACATTATATAAACAAATTATGATTGCAAACAATGTAAATAGTTCAATAATTCACTATTACTTAATAAAATATTGGTTAAACAATTGAACATATCAAATATGGTTATAAACACTTCACACACACATTTCACTTCACAACACAATAGTTTCACATTTTCCATAGTTAATCTTCTTTAAACTTCATCTTCAATCAATAAATAATAAACTTTTTCCTACAGTTACCAAACAATGTACATGTTCTCTCACTGATTTGAGAAAGCAAAGTGGCACTGGCAAATTCGCTCATCAGTGAGACAATGTTAACATTGTCTCACTCTAATTACTTTGTCTCACTCCATATTTGCAACGTGAAGGCACGAAATAATAGTGACCGCGTAACATGCAGACAAGGTCGTATGCGCGTGAAATACGTTGGCAGCACTGGCTGTAAATCAGCTAGTCAGCTGATGTACTGTTGTATCGAGTTTCTATTAGTTTTGATAAGACTAATAGAATTAAAATCATCATCAACTTATCAACCAATTAAATTTGGGGTCCCACAAGGTTCAATTTTGAGGCCTTTGTTTTTTTTTGTGTTACCTTCATGGAAGATAATTTAACCTACAAGCAAAATGTCTTTGTGCTGATGATTCTAATTTGATTGTATCATCTAACTCTCCAGAAGAAACTGGCAAAAGAACATTTTAAGAAATTACACATTTTTAAAGTTTATGGGCAATATGTTTATGAAAAATTCTTATTGCAAAAAAATGAATCTGAGCGAGTAATAAATTCAGTACATTCTTATAATTTCAGGAGGAGAAGAGAGTTTGTCCAGCCTCACAAATTAAAATATAAAAAAAACCCCTCATACGCTGGTAACGAGTTTCTAAACTTTGTCCCTGAATTAAAAAAATACCCCCGCCGCAGCAAACCTGCCGACTAAGCGAATTTCCATTTGTCTGAATTGATTTTCAATTAAATATATTTTAATAACATTAGGTTTAATTAGTACCTAGGTTTGCTGCTACAAGGAAACTAATAAAATGTGTTTTTGAGTAAAATATTGATAGCTTAGTACAAAATAAATAAATTTGCCAAGTTTGATCAAAATATATCCATAAACAAGCAAACCACAACATTTGACAATATTCTCCATAAGAATAACATGGGAATTTTAAATTTAAAATTTTTTTAATTTTCTCCGTTACTAATAATCGAACAAAAATACTTTTATATACTAAATTATTTGTTTTTTTAAGCTCTTTAAAAAGGTCTAAAGAGAAATCGGGAAATTTTGTGTTTTGAGGGTCAAAAGTGAGAAAAACTAATTTTTACCCCATAAAACCCCCCGTAAAGCCCTGTTCCCATGGTCCGATCGTGCTGGTTCGCGAACTCATTTAAGTTTATCCCGCTTTACACCTTTAAACCACATTTCATCAAAATCTGACAAAAATTACTCAAGTTATGGCGTTCACGGACGTATATATATATATAAAAATTTGAACGAATGGTGTTTTTGGCCTCTGGGGACATCAAAATGAAAAAGTAAATCGGTCCCGGGTCTAGGTCTTACCGTGCCACCTACGGTAATAGCTACTTCCCTATAGGGAAATTCGCTAAAAGAAACAAACCTATCTAAATTCAAGAAAATTCTAAAAGATTATTTAATAAATTTAGCATTATATGCTTTTGAGGAGTTTTTTATTTTTATTTTAAGTATTCTGACACTATTCACTGTACCACCAATGTACATGATTTATGATGAATAAAGATGTCTGAATATAAATATGATTGGCCATATGAATGAAAAAATTTTTGAACATTTGTTTAACGATTTATTATATGACTTATATGATTTGTTAAAACAATTTGTATTGTAACAATAATAAAATATGCCTCATTGTTTCTTCAGGTACAACAAATGAGCTATTGTGAGTTTACTGAGAAAGGTCATTGGAATACCTGTTATAAAATGTAGTTGTAGGCATCTGGATTTGATACATAGTATTCGACCAATTATTGTGTCTATAGACCATTTTATAGGTGCCAATAACTGTGCCAAGATGTGACAATTAATAGTTATGGTCTGTGCTCGATTTGCTGGGGAACACGGCGGATTGGAGTCCGGTACTTCTCTTTCGGAGAGATAAAAATAGTGGCTTAAATAGGTACAAATCACATGAAATAGGTTACAGTTCCGGCACCTCATTTTTTACAAATCGAGCACTGGCTAAAGCTAATAGTGGCCAATAACTAGGGGTTTTGTATTTTTTATATTTTATTTCTTATAAATTTAATTAATGATATATATTTTGTTAGTACTGTTCTTCCCTTTTGTCCTCAGTACATTCTACTTAAGGCCGGGGTTAAAATCCGGACATCTACAGTTGCCTAATTGCTAGTTATATGGACAGGAGGGAAAATTCAGGTTTTTATTGCTAATCTAATTTATCACGCTCTGTCTATTTTCATTAGACTTTAAAATCCGCGGGGGTATAATTCTACCCACGAACAACATTCAGCTTACTATGTCATAGTGAAGTCAGCATTGCCCAAGGGGTAGAATTCCAGGGGATAAAATCCCGGCGACCGTCAATGAGGGCAAGCAAACCACCTTAATCTTCTGAAGCGTGCCATCAATAATACTCTCAAATTAATAAACAAAATTTGGTTTCATTTTAGTTCCATCCGCTAGCTGTACATGTGTTTAGCTTTAATGCTCTGCGCCTCCACATGTTTGCCAACTTTAGAATTGATCAAAGTTATCAGGGCAACTGTGTCTAAAAGCCTACAAAAGGCCTGGCTATAAATATTAATTTGAATATAAGACCACTGATCACTGATCTTAAGATAACTATATTTATGTAACTCTAGCAGTGCCGACTCCAATCCCTTCTGGGAACTTTCTAGATTAAGATATCTGAACCTAGAGGTAAACAAACTTGTACTTTTATTTGGTGCTGTGCAACCTCTTTCCCCCTATAGGCTATATTGTCATTGACTTAGATTGAACATACTGTATAGCACTTTCAAGTGCTAGTGTATGTATAGTTTGGGAGAAACATAAAGCAGTAAAAGAGAACTTGAGTTCAATAATTAATTAGCACTCACTCTGTATATTCTCATATTCTAATTGTTAGCTTTCGTGACATTCAACAATCATCTCATTATACATTGTGAGATATGAAACCTCAACTTTGTTTTCTTTTACTGCCCCCCTCCCTGCACCAGATAAAAAAAAGAATACTGTTTAAGCCCGAAACAATGGTTTAAAATGAAATATTTAGAATAAACTTGTTCACATAAATATTTTAACATTTCTTACATGAGGCACACAGCACACATTCTATTAAAATAATACCCCCCGCCGCAGCAAACCTGCAGACTAAGCGAATTTCCATTTGACTGATTGGATTTACACTGAAATGTCTACTTAAAAATATAACATTTATTTTTGATTTAAATAGAATTAGTTTAACAAGTACTTAGGTTTGCTGCATCAGGGAGGGTAAAACTTTTTTTTTGTAAAATGTGAATAGGTAGTGAGAAATAAAAACATTTTCCAAATTTGATCAAAATATGTTCACAAACAAGCAAACTACAACAGTTTACTTATTCTCCATAAGAATAACATGGGAATTTTAAATTTACAATTTTTTGGAATTTTCTCTGTAACTATTAGGCGCATAACAACGCTTCAATATACTAAATTATTTGTTTTTTTAAGCCCTACAAAATGGTTTGGAAAGAAATTGCTAAATTTTATGTTTTTTGGGTCAAAAATAGGAAAAACCTATTTTTACCCCATAAAACCCCCCGTACCCATGGTCCGATCATGCTGGATCGCGAACTCGTTCGAATAAACGTACGTTTACACGTTTGTACCAAATTTCATCCAAATCGGATCATTTTTGCTCGAGTTATCGTGCTGACGGACACACATATATATATATATATATATATGAATTTGAACGGATGGTGTTTTTGGCCTCTAGGGACCTCAAAACGAAAAAAAAAATCGGTCCCGTGTCCAGGTCTGACCATGAGTACTACGGTAATAGCTTATTCCCTATATGGGAAATTCGCTAAAAATTGGAATCAATATTAGTATTTGACCCAGTATTGGTATTAAAAAAAAGACATTAAAATATTCAAAACATTTTATTAAGTCATACAAAATTAATATTCTTATAAAAATACTCTAACTAAGCTATCTTCTTATCATAGAAGCCTACTAATATTAAAGGAACTTTGGCTTGGAAAACTAAAACAAGAAAAGGTCTTGAACAAAATAAATGCAAGGCACATTAGTCATCTTAGGTCTAATAATGGGAACTTCATGTGGATCTATTTGTTAAAGCTAGGGATAGGTCAGTTATTGATTTTGTCAGGTAAACAAAATAAATAACTGAAAGTCAGAATTGGTGGGATATGTCGGTTTTGTTGATTGGTTGTCAAGCAATTTGCCTGCAATTGTGGAGGATGTTAAAGATTTTTCCGCAATTCTACCCACTAATACCCTTAACTGACAGAAACTAAATTTGCTAAAAAAACAATATATCACAACAATATATGTTGGAGTATTTGTTTTAACAAATCCACTTAAAATTTTTTTGGATTAACCAAGTTTTATCTGTGATTATCTTTGTTACAACATAAATCCACCATCGACAACAATAAAGTTTCAGCTAAAATATATGTGGATGGCAATTTCATTTACTTAAAACAAAAAAATGACAACCAATGTAACAAAACCGAACTGATAAAATTTTTAACTGACACATCACTAGTTAATACTCAGGACATCTCATTTTAACAGCAGCCTCAAGAGGCCCCTCTTCAATCTAAGAGGGTTGTGATGGCTAGGGGTGGGCAAGTAGTGGATTTTGAAACTACAGTAGGCCTACTTGAGTAACAAGTAAGTCAAGTAATTGAAAATGTTAGCATAATTTTTTGTTATTAGTCTAAGTGAATAAGTTTTAAACAAATGGCTGTGGTAATTCTTATCCAACTTGCTTCTAGTATACTATTTGTTTTGATTTAATTTTGACTGGCTATTCTAAACATGTCACAGAGTTTATATGTGATACTGAGCAAACAATTATTTTCACAAACATTAAAACAAAATACATAAAGATAAACTTAAAGTAGATAAATTATGTCACAAAAAAAGTCATTCAATGGTACTCCAATTCAAAGTAGCCTAATGATAATTTATTGGTCAAATAAATTTTAAAAATTAACCAGATAAAATAACCTTAAAATAGCTAGAAAACTCATAAACACAAGTTAATAAATTTTACTCACAGACCAAAAAAACATTGTTAGGGTAATAATTGACAAATACTACAACAATGAGTATGAGAAATTAGCCTAGACTGTCCCACAATACATTCTTGAAATCCTTCCTTTCATTCTCAAAATGACTTACAGACCCAAATTTATTATAGGTTTATTTAAATAGGACAACACTTTAAGTACTTGTCCTAAACATCAATGAAATACTTTAAGACAAATGAAACTGAATCATTACAGAATGTGATCCTTTTATTACCAGTCTCAACTTAACAGCCACACTTGTTAATCATTAGTTCAAAGGCACAATTAAATTTGTACAGTATATATTACTGTTTAATTACTTATAAGAGTCCTAAGGAGCAACCTCAGAGCTACAGAGCAGTTTCAATTATACTTCCCATTAGGGGAAAACTAATGAAAAAACAGCTTACAATCAAATCAGAAGTTATCTTGAAAGAAACATCTCAAACAAAAATTATTACAGTTTTATAAAGGGGAAACCTACTTCTCTTAATGCATTGGACATCCATTTTGTTGACACTCTGGAGAGAATATCATTCAGTCTCAGTCCAGGTCGGCTGGCTACCGTGTATAAATAAATATGAGTTAAATACATGAATCTCACTTGTAATTTTTTTCTCAATAGGGTAAAATTAGCAGTAAACATTTAGTGGCCGAGTCATCTAAATATAGATCTGCTTAGTTGGATAGATATTTTAAATCAATCTTAATTACCAGAACTACAGTTCAATTGCAGCCCTAAATTAGCTGACATATTAAGTGACAAATGCAATATTTCCGATAAATTGAGCTGCAAACTCCTGTATGGCAAAGCTTTCTTAAAACCTTTCTAATTAAAAGTTAAATGGAGTAAATTTTGTAGTATATAGAAAATAGTTATTTATGTTATCCTGTGTTCTCTGGAAATTCAGCAAGCCAACATGTTATATATTTATAAGCAAATATAGAAAATTGAAAATCAAGGGAGACCCCTGCACTAAATTATGTCTGAATAGCTGAAATAAAAGCTGTACCTAAAAAAGAGAAGTTTAATAAAGGCTCGAGAGACCACAATAAACCACTTTTCAGAAGCTTTAAATTTTTACTTTTATAAATATTTTTAATTAGGATTAAGTATTTTATTTCTTACAAAATCAATTTTAGGGCAAACCCCTGGAAGGAAGAACTACTGCCCTTATTAGGTAGTACATTTGAAATTACAGGTGTGTTTAACAAAAATTAATATGTTTTAAAGCGTCTTTTGAAAATTGTAATTATAAATAAAGGTAACAACTTCATGAGTGATATGTTATTTTCCTAAAATGCAAATTATTACAAATTAACATAATTAAAAAAGTTATCGGTCATGTGAAAAAATCTTTTAACTATCTAGTTTTGCGTCATAAACAATTTGAACTTCATCTGATTCTTCAGTAGTCTGGGAGGATTGTCGAATTGACAACACATCATCCTGTGTAGAATCAGTCAGTACGATGGTCTGGGATAGCTCTTGTTGTGTTTCTTGGTCGGAAACATGGATACTTGAATTTTCTGAATCATGATGACAATGTGCCAACATGGCATCTTCCAAATAATCGCGTTGTGGGCAACCTTCAAAATCATCCGATTGGGTAGAAACAAAGTTAGGACTATCATCCTGTAGAGGACTAACATCCTGTCGAGGACTATAATCCTGTGAACTAAAATTCTGGGCAGGATCAAAAATTTCATCGAGGATACTTCTAGCAGGCGTTACATTCTCAACGTCCATTCTTGGTACTTCTTTTACTAAACCTTTTGATAGCTCAACTTCATGCTTATTGGATGGATGAGCATCAACCTGAATTTTAGGTCTTTTACTGTCTTCAGCAGTCTCTTTTTCTATGATGATGTTGGAATCATCATCAGAATATATGACATTGTTCTGTCTTTTTCTTTTCAGCTTGCTATTCTCTGACTTCATTTCAAAAGGGGAGGAAACCACTGGTTCACTATCAGAGTTTTTTACAAAGTCAGCATTATTTTCAACTAAATTTGGATCATTAGCACAAGATGCCAACATGGCATCTTCCAAATAATCGCGTTGTGGGCAACCTTCAAAATCATCCGATTGGGTAGAAACAAAGTTAGGACTATCATCCTGTAGAGGACTAACATCCTGTCGAGGACTATAATCCTGTGAACTATAATTCTGGGCAGGATCAAAAATTTCATCGAGGATACTTCTAGCAGGCGTTACATTCTCAACGTCCATTCTTGGTACTTCTTTTACTAAACCTTTTGATAGCTCAACTTCATGCTTATTGGATGGATGAGCATCAACCTGAATTTTAGGTCTTTTACTGTCTTCAGCAGTCTCTTTTTCTACGATGATGTTGGAATCATCATCAGAATATATGACATTGTTTTGTCTTTTTCTTTTCAGCTTGCTATTCTCTGACTTCATTTCAAAAGGGGAGGAAACCACTGGTTCACTATCAGAGTTTTTTACAAAGTCAGCATTATTTTCAACTAAATTTGGATCATTAGCACAAGATGCCAACATGGCATCTTCCAAATAATCGCGTTGTGGGCAACCTTCAAAATCATCCGATTGGGTAGAAACAAAGTTAGGACTATCATCCTGTAGAGGACTAACATCCTGTCGAGGACTATAATCCTGTGAACTAAAATTCTGGGCAGGATCAAAAATTTCATCGAGGATACTTCTAGCAGGCGTTACATTCTCAACGTCCATTCTTGGTACTTCTTTTACTAAACCTTTTGATAGCTCAACTTCATGCTTATTGGATGGATGAGCATCAACCTGAATTTTAGGTCTTTTACTGTCTTCAGCAGTCTCTTTTTCTACGATGATGTTGGAATCATCATCAGAATATATGACATTGTTTTGTCTTTTTCTTTTCAGCTTGCTATTCTCTGACTTCATTTCAAAAGGGGAGGAAACCACTGGTTCACTATCAGAGTTTTTTACAAAGTCAGCATTATTTTCAACTAAATTTGAATCGTTAGAAATTCTAGCTTTGCGACTTTCTTCCTCTTCGGAATCTGATTCAAAACGCATAAAACGTTTTTTCCGGTTTGTCTTGATGCTACCATTTTCACTTGTGTCTGTCATGTTCGCATCAATAATTTTTGATTGCTGGTGATTTTCTTTGTCTGAATCATTCTTGTACTTCCCTTTTTTTGATAGGCTTTTAGGTAGAGATGGACCTGGTTTAGAATTATCCAGGTCTTCCTCTGAAGAACTTGAATAATCAACTATGTTTCTGGTCCTTTTTAGATAGGGACTGTTGTTGCTAGTGCTTCTGAAAAAAAAAAATTATTATTGTAGTTAGTTAAATTAACAAATGAAAGTCCTACAACAGATATGAAAGTACACATGCAAAATAATAAGTTTTAATTTGATGATTGTTATATATTAATTATAGATAGCAGCACAGAAATCTACTCCTTAGCAGCTCAATAACTTTCTCTTTAGCTTGCATATTTTTATACAGATACAGCCAATGATTAACTTAGCTATTGTATAATACTATTAAACCCTACTAGTAGGAAAAAACGAACAAGCGTTATGTCAAGGAACCTTGAAGTCAGCTGTATTTGAATGGTTTACAATCTTCACCACTGCTCTCTTTATGTCATTTAGGCTACGGCCACACGGGCGTTTTTTCACGCGGTAAAATGTAGCTTATTTTCACGCTGCTTGAATTCCCGCTGCTGTATGCCACACGTGCGTTTTTTTCACGCAGTAAAATGTAGCTTGTTCTCACCCCGGTTGAAGTCCAGGAGCGGCAAAATGCAGTGGTAACCCGCAGTTGATTGACGGATTCACGTAATTATGTTATATATCTTCCTCATGGCCGGAATAGTAACCTTGTTTCTGACTAGTGAACAAGAAATATGAATGGTATATTGATTTCGATACGAAAACAACACTACAATTATTTTATTTTGACATTTAAAAAAAAAATATTATATAAATATTATTATGACAAGATTTTCATCAGATCTTTGAATATTCTACTACATATATGCCTCTTTACATTTTTTAGTCCAACTTAATGCCTTTCCTTTTAGTAAAAAATTATTGAGTGGTCCAGTAAGGTCGACCTATGTTTAAGATAAAACGTGTAGGTCTACTGTGTAATTGGCTAGACCCAAAAATATTTTACGCTATCCTGGACAAAATTAGATACATTTATATTTATTTTAACTTGCTAGGACGACTTGATCAAAGCTGCGTGTTGCTCCCGCCCGTGTGGCCAGTGACAGAGCGTGAAAACAAGCTTCTAAAATGCACCCCAGTCCATTCTTCTGCGGGCCCGCGGCGGTCGATTTTGAAGACGCGCCGAATCTGCGTGAAAACAGACTCCGTGTGGCATACCTCATTACATTTAATGCTGCCCATATTTCTCGCGTTTTTTCACGCTGCGTTCTTGCGTGAAAAAACGCCCGTGTGGCCGTAGCCTGAGTAACATGACCTTGTTTAGAATCAATAAATTAAGGTTGTGATTTCATTAATATTCAAGCTTATTTGACCAATCATGTAATATGTTTGGATTTTCCTCTGCTCATTTAACTAAGCTTCCTTGACTGACTTCATACAGTTTAGAATTAAGGCATGCCCAAAGAAATTCTGAAACATCAGTGAATTGTGATTTATAATGATTTGTTTATGACCCTTTCAACCGTAAACAAAATGACACAGCTCTCAACGCTGTAAATTTCACAGTTCAAAAATTATAGCAAATGTTTGTGATTTCCCCAATAAAAAACACATAGTTAACTCCCATTGCTTATCCATCATATTTGAGTAAGATAAAAATTAAGCGTCAGTTATCATTTAACTTCTATTTAGATTTGAAACTACATCTAATAAGCTTTGTTTGGAAGATTTTTAGAGTATATCCACAAAGGAAATTTTCCCTAAGCCTCAATACACTGTTTGAGGTATTTTCATATAAAAAGTATTTGCATAAAATAAAATTGTTTCCATTATAATATTGAAAGTCAGATCATCTTTTCTCGGTACCCACTTTGCAAAGAGAGATCAGATGATAGGCCTATTAATAACTCAAAGTGAAAACAATTATGAAACATAATATATTCCACCCTTACTTGAGATTCCTGTCAGACACATTAGGTTGTACATATGTTCGGTCTTCAGTATTCAGAGATATAACTTCTTCTTCTAGGTCTGAAATAAAAAAAAAAAAAACTTTTAGGACAGTTATTTTCAAGCTTATATTAAAGACTTGTTTACTGACAACTTATATTCAATATAATCAATAACTTATAATAATGTGGGAGTTCCACATTGAGTGAAGCTCATTCTGTAATAAGAGTTATTCTGTACAAACTATTCCAAAAAAGTTAATATTAAAATTTGGTGGTATGTGTTTAACTCTGATTCCTCTTTCCAAACCAAACTAAGAGGGATGTTTAAAAGGGTTATTTGTGCATATAGCTCCATTGTTTGTGTGTACACGTTGACTTGTTGCTTACTGGCATCATTTGTAAACAGAATCACAGTGTGATTTGCTGCTCTGTACCTGACTTGTACACTTTGCTGTGTCCAGAAGTTTTCAATAACTATCATATCTCCAGCCCATTAAATTGTTGCTCTAGCCGAGGCTAAAATATGTAACCATTTCACTAGGAATTAGGAATGAATGGCTCCTAAAATTTCGGGAAATGTTTGGGAACAATTTATTCTCCACCACTGGAACAGAATTACATTTTGACCATCAGTGATTTTGTCGTGTCAGGAGTTACTATAATTACATTACCAATGTGGGAGATGTTGACAGAATGGCAGGTGACAATAATGATATCTCCGCGATTGCGAGAGATGTTCACCAAGGTTCTGCAAACCCAGGATACGATAATGATGTATTCGTGATCGAGGGAGATCTTAACGCTTGAGCTGTGACCGCCAGTCATTTAAACAATCGCTATGTGATAGCGAAAGATGTTAAAGATGATGCTGTGCTTGTGGGAGATATGTACAATGGTGACGTGATGGTGGAATATATAATCTTGATATCATTGAGATAGATAGGTACACTATAACCAAAAGTATGATTAATAAAGCCAGATTCATTCACGGTCTGACACGTCTGCCGACTTATCCGACTCGGACAGCATCAGACCGTGTGCGGGTAAAACAGACCGGGTCCACAGACAGTAGGACAAGTCCACGGTAATTTGAGGATTCCAGACGTATTTGGCCGACACAACCGACCACGCCGTGTATGGGCTCAACAGACTTGGTCTTTGTACTTTCAGTTAACTTCAGTTTATTTGTGAACGTTATAGACTAAACCTGATTAAGAATGTGCAGTGACATTAGTGACAACAAAAGGTTTAGGAGGAAGTTTATTGAATTGTACACGAGTATGCTGTGCTTGTGGGACATACGAAGCAAACAGTACAGCAACAAACACTTGAGGCACTTGACTTGAGGCGTCTTTTTTTCGCGTAGAAGCTTCGAACTATCCAAAATATAATTTGAACTAACCAGGATTATTTAGTATTGATTGTAAATTAAATGCTAGGGACCAGGAGTAATATTCAAATTAAAGAAGATTTCAAATTATGAAGGTCAATGCTGTCCGAATCAAACTGAAGCTACACGAAGATAGGACCATGTATGGGGGGCTTAAAGCTTGTATTGTTTTCTACAGGTAACCATATCACGCCTTAAAACACTTCTCATTATACAAATTTAGTTCTAGTGAGTTTAAATATCTGTCTGTGGTTATGGTTAGCTAATTAGATTGATGTTTCACAGTTGCATAGATAAATAATGCATTATTTTTAGGTACCAGTTTTTGTTACTTGTGTATTGTATTTGTAACCCATTACTGCTCTTTTTAGAACAGTACATTTTTGTGTTTTTAGATTATTGCTATCTGCAAGAATATTAAATCAAGATTTTTAAAATAAACATTTTTGCACAGGCAAATATCCCATTCAGCCATGTCCCACATTCGGGAAGGAAATAAAAACCCCGTCCCAAACTTCTTTGAGGTTACTAATTCACACCTGACACCCTCCACATAACTATGCTATCTTCTTCTTGCTGCGATTTAATTAAATTTTATATCATTTAACAAATTACCTTGGCTGGTATCAGGCAAATCTCCGTTCAAGGCATTGTTGAGCCACATGATTCTTTCACCGATTTCTTTTTCTTTCCACGTACCAGGGATTCTCCAATACTTTACCTGTTACAACAAATCTATATTATAACTGATTACTCATATACAACATAAGGAACAGATGTGTTTTGATTTCTGTTATCTTAGTTGAAATATTTTTTATCAGTCTCAACTAAACTTTTTGATAGTGGGTTGATAAACAGGAAGTAGTTCAATCAAAACCCATTGACAGAGAAGTCACAACCAAGGCCTTGCCATTAGTGATGGTCGGATCCAGATATCGGACCACCGGATCCATCGGATCTGAGCTAAAACCAACGCCCGATGTGATCCACAAAAAATCGGATTCAGTTTTGATGGATCCGATTTGGTTTCAACAAACAAAAGAGTCTGTATCCAAATACGTTACTGTTTATTTATTCCATATCATATAACATACTATCTGTGTCAAAAATCAAGAATCAAGATCTTTATTGTCATTGACCTTTTACAAAGAATAGACATAGTCAACAATAAAAATAAAAAACTAAAGCTATAAAATACAATGGGTTCTAAATTAAAAAATTAATATTAACTCAGAAAATAAGTACTCTGTTATACAGTAATATGGATTTTAAATGAGCCACTCAAACATTTTGGACTTAAACCTAATAAAAGGAACCTGTTTTGCTGCCAGACCTAATTTATTAAAAAACCGTATGCAATTTATTTTATGGCAGTTATCTGTTTTGGCCAATCTATGAGCAGGTCTTTATAATGGATATATGTGAATGTCCGTATCCATATAAGCGCCTAATAGTAATAGTATACATTGACGTCCACCGGATTTTTGGAAAGATTCTAATTCAAATTTGTGGCGATTTCAAAACTGATTCCCAACTCGTCTGTGAAGATTGAGCGATCGAAAAATTACCGCTATTCTGATACTGTTTGCCGACTCTTCTACGAAAATCGTGCGATTGTAAATAAACTGCTATTCCGATACCGATTGCAGACTTATTTACGAAAATCGTGCGATCTGAAGTTTACCGCTATTCCAATACCGATTGTTGACTTCTACGAAGATCTCACGATCGGAAAAATACTGCTGTTCCAATACCGATTGCCGAGAACCCCAGGTTCTCTTAAATTGTATATTGTTTTTATTTCTCTTTTTTGTTGAGCCTTGTTGGTTCAAAGGGGGCGGTATGTTCAGTCAAGATGTCTTTGAATTTTTGTTATTTTATATGTCTTTGTTCTTAACAATCTATCCGTAATTCTCAGCACATGATCAAATGTTTATTACTCATTGTGGCATTCATTCATCGCGAATCACCTCTCATAACAACATGTACTCATTCATTCTCTCATAAATTAAACCTCTTTTATACTTTTTCCTCTTTATTATAATATAATTACACCGCACAAAAACAATGTTGCAAAAAACTACAGTTACATTAGTCGTACGTACTTGATCCTTCGGTTTTTCAAAAGACAGGATATGCAGGACTTGTTGGAGGATAGGGATGTTCTCAAAGGCGTGAATGATGGGATCACTTATCGGGACCAATGCCATGCCTTCATTTTGGCTGTCCTCATCCTCAGTGTCTGGCAGATCTTTCAAAAACTCCCCAAGTTCAGTTATTAGCCAGTCAAAAGGCATCTTCACCACATCACCTAAAACAACACATGATTAACCATAAAAAAAAAATAAATACCTTATAAGTACTTTGTATCTATTAATATACCTTTTTAATAAATTTAGAACGATTTAATTTCACTGGATATAGTCAATCTAAATTTACTTATTAACTTCTATACTGACTACATCAATCAAATTTTTAGTTCAAATTGCTTTGATTAGATACAATAAAGGTTTGTTTTTTAATTTAAACAATAAATTTAATATGACCTTACATGTGCGCGATCTTATACAGTTTTAAACCTCTTAGTCAGATCCATGTAAAATCAACACATTTTACCTGACCATCTTCGATTTCTTGTACATCTCATAGAGACCAAGACAGATAACAATTTTAACATGATATTTCAGCTACAGTAGACGATAATAATGTCTTGACATTAGCAGGAGATGCTTTAAATTCCCCGCGATCATGGGAGACAATGATGATGTCTTTGCCATCGAGGGAGAAGTATATAATTTTTTTGTGGTCACTAGAAACGATGATGATGTCCTCACGATTGCGGGAGAAGATCACGACTGTGCCGCAATCACAGACTATAATTAATGTCGGCATTATGTTAAATGCACACCACACCAAATTTATGGATACAAAAATCTAAAACTGCTTTTATTGACAACCATGCAGAGGCATGTGTTAAAACATAGCACGGTAATGTCCGTTTGGGAATATGCAGTACAATAGAACACCTCATATTCGCCTCAAGTCTCATAGAAAGATATACATATCTATAGAGGTTCATAACAGGACTCCATTTTTGAGCCAAGCCACACCTACAAATTGAAGTTATAATACTTAAACTACACGTAACTAGTATTATATGTGTGTATATCTTTGCAAAACACATACATATGAATGCATTTTTTTGATGATATGAATTTGACTTTTGGCGGAAATAATGCATTCTAAAATATACCGTTCAGCGTTCATAGACAGTTAGTATATTCAATTGTGAAAAGTGGTTTCTTAGAGATGCTTTAGGTTCTAGGTTTAACATTAATCGCAAGACTTTTTTTGTAAGTTTAATTATTTTATCCAGGTTTTGTACACTAGTGTCCCCATAGTATCTCCTGGGGTATTTTTGTTGACTACTGTAATATTCCTATTCATATTATTTGTGACAAAATCAGTAGATTAAGACATTATAATAGACCTGCAATTGATGAGATGTATTTGTGTCAATAGATTATCTACATACCCAACTCTACAGCTTTCTTCAAAACAACAAATATCTGGGGAAGAAGGGGGGCCGCACGAACTCTTTCTGTCTCCTTTCTGCGTAACACAGCTTCGGGATCTTCCTCCTCTGACCAAGAGTCATATATACTCTCATCATCACTCCTTTCACCCCACTCTTTTCCTTTTTTGCCCGCTGAAATAAATGTATTTAATTCAAAAGATCCAACTGACTTATTTTCAAACAGTTTAACTAGAACATATTAAAATACGGGAGTGTTGCTGAAAGTCAAATGTTTGTTAGGTCAAATAATTTATTTTTAGTAGGTACCGACTTTACTGGTTGACTAAATGGGACTGTTGACCTAATGCTACAACAAAATATATTGATTTTGATCTAATGGTACAAGAATAAATTATTTGACCTTCTGGCACAGTTGACTTTCTGCAAGACATCCGTAAAATACATATATTCTCTTTAAACAGTTTCAATGGAATAACTTAACATCCATATAAGAGCACTTTTGATTGTCTTTTTTATGAAATGATTATAAGCCTACTGTATTTAAATTTTAACTTTTTACTTCCTTACACAATATTTGTCCTTCCACAACAAACCAAACCACAGTTCCAAACACACTAATCTTATGCTGCTTTAAAATAATACTAGGGATGGACGGGTCCCGAAATTTCGGGAATTTTTCGGGAAAAAAATATTCCCGATTATCGGGACGGGATTACATTTGATTCGGGAATTTTTCGGGACGGGATTTGGTCCGATCGCCGGCGATTTTGCCGCTTCGCGAGTGCCGATGACGCCGCTATTGCGAGCGATAGGTCCGCGAACGCAGGAGACGAAGTCGTTTCGACGATTGCGCCGTGACCGCGGAGTCATACCGACGATCGCGCCGTGACCGCGGAGCCATACCGACCATCACGCCGTGACCGCGGAGTCATACTGACGATCACGCCGTGACCACGGAGTCATACCGACGATCACGTCGTGACCGCGGAGTCATACCGACGATCACGCCGTGACTGCGGAGTCATACCGACGATCACGTCGTGACCGCGGAGTCATACCGACGATCACGCCGTGACCGCGGAGTCATACCGACGATCACGCCGTGACCGCGGAGTCATACCGACGATCACGCCGTGACTGCGGAGTCATACCGACGATCGCGCCGTGACCGCGGAGTCATACCGACGATCGCGCCGTGACCGAGGAGCCATACCGACGATCGCGCCGTGACCACGGAGTCATACCGACGATCACGCCGTGACCACGGAGTCATACCGACGATCACGCCGTGACCACGGAGTCATACCGACGATCACGCCGTGACCGCGGAGTCATACCGACGATCACGCCGTGACCACGGAGTCATACCGACGATCACCCCGTGACCGCGGAGTCATACCGACGATCGCGCCGTGACCGTGAGTCATACCGACGATCATACCGTGACCGCGAGTCATACCGACGATCACGCCGTGACCGTGAGTCATACCGACGATCACCCCGTGACCGCGAGTCATACCGACGATCGCGCCGTGACCGTGAGTCACACCGACGATCATGCCGTGACCGCGAGTCATACCGACGATCATGCCGTGACCGCGAGTCCTTTCGACCGCGAGTGTCAAGTTTCTATAGGTACCTGAAAAATTGTTACCCATTTTTTGGTTTTTATAGATCAGTGCCACAAACGGTAAAGATTGATTTTGTATGCCTTTTTTGGTAACTGCAATACTCAAGACTTTCTTTTTATGCACAGAAAAAAATCCCGTCCCGTCCCGTCCCGAAAATCGGGAAGGAAATAAAAATCCCGTCCCGTCCCGTCCCGAACTAAAAATTCAATCCCGTCCATCCCTAAATAATACCATTATAATAAAACCTCAACCACCAGACTCCCTCTTATCCGGACTCCTCGGGACTGAGACCAGTCTGGATAACGGGTTTTCCGGTTAAACCGACGTCCCCAATCTCTTTATGTAACCTAAATATTTGACTTAAATTTAGGAGAGCATTGTATTTAGACACGTGATCACTGGTCTCAAATATTTCCCACGAGAACAGTGGTTTCAGTACAGCCCACTTCCGACCGATCTAGTCCGTTTAAACCCATGTGCTGGTAAAAATTGTCCGGTTAAAGAGATGCCGAGTGTAGTCCGGTTATCCCGATGTCCGGTTAAAAGGGGTTCGGATAAGAGGGAGTCTACTGTATATATACGGTATACAGGGTTCCCACTATTTGTCTTCAACAAAATTCATGGTGTTTTCTTGGTTCTCTCGGTCTGCTTTTATAAATTTTATGTTCTCCAAACAATTTTAGTTATAATGACAAAACTTTATGTAATGCCTTTTCTAACCAGTACACAAGTAAGGTTTCGTAGCCGATGAATATGGCACCATTATTAAATTTAACATTTCTTAGATCTATACATGCAGGAAAGCACAAGACTGTAAAATCCTTAAGGCACATTCCAGGAATAGAACGTAATAATCGGCCAGTCGGCGCAGAGCGAAGAAAGATACAAGAGATAGAGGCAGAGAAATAAAAGACAGAGTTGTGGTGTTTAGAGGGAGGGTAGGGGAGAATGAGAGGACAACAAATTTGGTATTGATGGAACAGAAGGGAAGGGGGGGGGAGAGCGCGAGGGAGAGGAGAGGGGAGAGAGAAGCCGTTCATTAATGTAGGCATAATGAAAAAGTTTGTGCTAACTCGTTGTTCTAATTATTCTTCCTTATGGTTGTTTTCCAGCAGTGAGTGAATGATGACTCTCTCTCTCTCTCCATTAAAAAACATTGTAATAAATATGTTATTGAGTGTAACCACAACAATGTATGGCAATGTGTTTTTTGTGCCTGTTGTGATGGAATATTGGACCATCGAGGTCTAAATCACTGCAGGTGAAATAAAGAAATGTCAAATTACTCTCTCTCTCTCCCCCCCCTCTCTCTCTTTCTCGCAAGAGGCCCCAGAGAGAATGATACAAGGATTGCTGCCAGACGATAGGGAAGAGGATGGTACAGAGGAACAAGCAAGAATCAGAAGTAGGATGGCTGAAGAAAGCATTGGAACGGATGAGGAAGATGGAAGGAGAGCTAATTGCATGCGTTGCACTGCTGAAGGATAGGAAAGCCCCGGGAGTGGATGAAATAAAGAACGAAGTAGTAAAGAGAATGTTTGGAAGGATCAAGGGGACGCTGTTGAACCTGTACAACAAGATGCTGAGAGAAGGCAGGTATCCTGATGTGTGGAAAAAAGGAATCGTCAAAGTTTTTCTGAAGAGCGAGGAAAAGGATCCAAGTAAGATTAAATCGTACAGGCCAGTAACCCTCTTACCTGTCCTAGGAAAGCTGGGCGAAAGATTAATAGTGAAAAGGATGAAAGAATGGCTGGATAGGGAAAATAGGGCAAATCCATTGCAATATGGATTCACGGAAAGTGTTGGAACGGTAGACGCACTTCTGGATATGAGAAGAGAAGTTAAAGAGACGGAAGAAAAATAAGACATCGCAACATGAACTGATGGAGTGCCCTTTCTCCGAAGAAGAACAAAGCGACATGAGGGAATTCCTCCGACAAGACATGGAATTGGGAGAAAATCAACTTCTTGAGAACTTAAGAATCTTCGCTGGAGTTTGCCAGAATGTGCGGAAGGATAGAGAAGAAAAAGCATGAATTTGAAAATGCAGGAAGACAGGCTGGAATTCGAAAAGGATAAATGTTAGGAAAAATGAAATAAATAAATAAAGAAGATTGAAAAAAAAAATCCGATGATCCTAGTACTGAGGGTACTAGGTGAGGGGAGAGGTGTTGGTTAGGCACAGAATGTGCCTGGAAGGACAAAAATGAAGCCGACAACTGGAAGAGGATCTGAAGATTTTTCAGGAAAGGGGCCTGGTGAATAAGTCTCTGACTTAAACCAGGGGTGGTGGAGGGACCGCTGGACTTCGGCCAAACACCTATCTCTCACTCACACACATACAATAATCTCGATATTACTGCATTCAGTTTCACACGAGTAGCCCCTTGTGTCGTCTCCAGGCGAAATATTTGGGGTTTTAAGGGTCCAAAAACAAATTCACGGCTAAATCAAAGTTTTTTCTTGGTTGACCTAATTAACGGTTTTAAGGTTTTCACGGTTGAGTGGGAACCCTGGTAAGAAACAAAGAAAGGCTAAAAAAAAGTGTCCTTGGGATTTTTTCATGAAATCAGCCGGTTTTCCATAATACAAGTTACATAAGAATTAAGATATCGAAAAAGGTTCTTTAGATATCTATACAGGGTTAGTAAAAGTGTGAAGACCCCCTGTTATTTTTTTAACGGCCCATACTAGAAAAACTAAACTGGGCACACCTTTATGGCATGTTATGAAGTACAGTAGAACCTCTTTAATCCGAACCCTTGTAGTCCAAACGTCCACTAATCCGAACCCCTCATTGCTGTACTCTATACACAGTACAGTAGTCCTTTATTATATACTGTATTTATTGATATACTTACCGTAATTATTTCAATTGTAATGTACAGTACTGTTTATTCTCTATGTTTACTACTGCTCTAAATAAACACTGTATTTTACTTTATAAAGCATTTTTCACTTTTCCCTAGCTATTGTTATGTAAAAACAACATGTTCTGTAATTCAAACTATTCCATAGTCCGAACTACCCCCGGTCCCAATTAGTTCGGATGAAAGAGGTTCTACTATACTTTTATGGCATAACCGCGACTTGGTGTACATCCCCAAAATAAAGGGATTTTGGGGGAAACTCAAAAATTTAAAATGTTAAGCCCCATCGATTGATCCCTCATTTTTAAGGTCCTGGTAAAAGAAAACCAACAACGCAAATTAGAGGTCTCTATTTCAATCCAGTAAAAATGGCAGCCAATTGAAATTCTCAGAAGTTAAATTGGGAATGTTGCTGGAAGTCAACAGTCCCGGAAGATCAAATAATTTATACCTGTGCCACTAGGTCAAAAACTACAATGTTTGCAGTGTCTGTAGATCAAAAGTCCCAGTAAGTCAAATGATACAGTCCGAGCTAAAAACGTGGTCTATGTTAAAGCAATTGACTTATTGGGAATTTGACCTAATGCAACAGCAGTTTTAATATAACGAAATACGGTAAAATACAAGTTCAGTTTCGCTGAGTCAACAGTGCCGGAAGATCAAAAGCAAT